AAGAAAGACGGCACATCCCATTCTTCATAACAGAACTCCCCCCCCCCCTCCCCCCCACTAAGTCAGTTAATACGTACAGAGACACACACATGCACATGCACGAGCACACGCTCTAAATCAGGCGCCCGGACACCAGTAAAATATTCAAATCAAAGCGAAGCAAAAAAAACAAAAAAAAAAAAGACATACGCCAAAATAAAATCAAAACCTAAAGCCACACAGAATATATATATACATTTTGTTTTTTTCCCCGTTGGTTATGCCCAATCCTTTGTTGCTGATATAAAATAGAGCCATAGTTCCTCAAGACACACACACCAGCCCCGTGGATGTCGCCGTCCGTCTTTTCGCAAAACGCAATACTGGAGTACCGCCGCTCAAAATGCTGCAATCACCAATCATTTTTATAAGTCGGCGGCAAATCTGCCGGTACTTTCCAGAGTCCGTGTCGTTGAGGTCGTGGCAACGACCTGGACCCACCAATTAGGTGCCAGCCATAGAAAAAACAACCAACAAAAAAACCGCCGGAAAAATGGAACAGGAGGAAGATGAATCTTTGTAAGCAACTCACATAGCAAAATGCGCCAGTTCTCTTAATTATCAAATAGCGTAAAGTAATACCCTTTGCCCTCTGCGGCTGTACGCAACGCACTTACAGCTGTTTTTTTTTTTTTTTTGTGTGTGTTGGTATGACAACGGAAAACGTTTGGTACGACGTCACTTTGCCGAGTGTTGCAATGAGGCCCGAGAAAAACATCGCCCAACCAATTTTCCACCCCGCACACGAGAACGTCTTCCCAATACTACACAAGAGGATGCCCCTTCTCCCAAATGCCTTTGGGGGTGAGGGGATCTACTAGGGAAGGCTCATGTGCACTTCATCCACCACCACCAGGTTCCATCCAATGCTAACCAGTGCCAACAATGTCAACTTCCTCCCGCCTCCATGTCCGTACAGACACATTTTTGCGGAGTATCCATTGGTGTACATGGGTGCTTTGGCAATAACTCCTCCCCTCCCCTTTAATAATAATAATAATAATAAATAAATGCTTATCACTTAAATTCCATGTATTTGGCGTAATTCTTCTCACCGATAATCTGTGGAGGATACCCCACAACTCCGCCTACCACTCCAGTGTCTTGGAGGTGGGCGCCGTAGTAGGACTCAAGTACAATAACGTCATCTTTTTTTTTTTTTTTTGAGTAGCGCCCAAAAACACTTCCGTCAGTCCTCGCACAGTTGCGTTGGCCACAAAACAGACTATTGACCGTCAATTTTTGGCCAACAAAAAAAACGCCGTGGGTGTGTGCGTTGGTTCTCCAACACAAGCCCTCAATCCGTTGATTGTCTTGCCTTCTGATGTTTGGTGGGCTTTTTTGCGCTCTATTCGATTCTGGGCTGGAGTTCCTGCAGGAGAAACGACGGTGGTGGAAAGAACTACCGCAATTTAACAAGCGTTTTGTTCATTGGAAACTCGCACCATTCTCATCCCACACGATACATGATGGCGCCATTGCGAGACGCGTTGCGGAACCGTCAACACTCAGTTCACGGGGAAAAAAAAACATATAAATATATATTTCTCACCTTCTTTTATTTATTTATTTTTCCTCTGCCAACGTTGCGTTCAGCAGCGCTTGTAAAAATGACGGGGGGGGGGGGGGGGAAGAAGCTTCGGGGAATGGCCGGCACACGATGTTCACTGAGTAGCAGGAACTGTCCTAAAAAAATTCCGCAGCAGCAGTCAGAGCGACCATAGAAGGCACACATAATCGCATATACATATATATATGCGTTTGTTTGCCCTATTTCGACCATAAATCGTCATCTCAATCGCGCTCGGCACGCACCCCTCTCCCTCCCCCCACCCCGCCCGCCAGAAACACACAGAGAAAGACAAACGTGTAAGGCCGCTTACCCGTTCAAGTTGCATTTGTTTCCACCGAGGCTGCAAGAGCCTCACAAATAACCAGAAAAATTTTAAAACAACACCAGTTTTCCTCAAGGAAAATATCCCCTTCTTTTTTCCGCCGTCTAGAATGGAATCCGAACCGGAAAGTTGCTCAGCTCCGACACCCGCACCATTGGCATCTGTAGTCCCCCGTCACAGAGGGCTTCTCCCTTCTTTGCACTCTGCGCTACTGTGGCACTGCGCATCAGCACCGCTTGTCCGACATGTTCCGCGCGATACGGCGGGTGAAGGGCGGCCAACAACGTGACAGCGCGTGTTGAGGGATTGTTTCCAGGTGGCTGTAGCTTAAATGGCAACTCCTGTGCGGAAGCGTCAGCCGCCCCTTTGCTCCGCTTCCAAAGAACAAACCTTCGAGCCGGACGGTGTGCTTTGCACGAGAGATAAGTTGTCCCGTCGCCGTTTTTTTCCTCGCGGAGTACAGGCGGTGGCGAAAGAGCTTGCGGCACCCTCTCCAACTCAACCACCTGCTGCTGCTGCTGCTGTGGCTGCTGCTCTTTCTCTCTTTCGAAGTGGTGCAAAAGGAACGTTGTGGCACGCTGGACCAACGGCATAGGGGCAACGCCTTCGTCCACCCAGCGCACACGCTTGACGGTGCGACATGTCCCCGTAAGACTCGAGGGACATGCTTCATCTTCTGCATCGTTGCTGCTAGCGCGTGGCCCTCTGTTCTCGGATGGAGATGATGATAACAATGATGAGGCATCTTGTAACAATTCCGTGGAGTCGTCATTGCGGTCGTCGACACTCTGCAGTTCCGCAGGGGCGGGGGATTCCTCAGGGAAGAAGTCACCTTCTACGAAGTGTGCCGTGTGTACCTCCTCGTTTGCTGTTAGTTCAGCAAGGCTGGTCGGCACAAGATCTTGGAAGCCGTCCTCATCCAACTCCTCATCCTCATCTTGAGAGAAGCGAGGGGCGATCCCACGTGAATCTGAGCAAACACCAGGTGGACACCGTTGCTCATGCACCATGTATGCCTGCCAACTCGCACAGCGTCCTTACTGTCGTTTGCTGCCGTCTCCGCCGATCCTTCTCCTCCCTTTCCTACTCAACCATTCATTCGTCACAAAGCCAAAACACGCACAGAAGTCAAAAAAAAAAAGAGGAGAAAGAAGAAGGGAGACAAACTCAACTACACAAACACACAAAACATCCACATTTATTATCACTCTTCTAAAGGTCCACACATACACAAATATCAGCAACATTCGTCCCCTTTGCACGGATTGCAATGCCTTATCACGGTAAGAAAACCACTTCTAGAGGGTACGCGGAAAGACACTCATTGGCACTTTGCAGGAGGCGAACGATACGCTTACCACTTGCCTCAAATGCCTTCTTGCCGACCGCACGGCAAACGATACTCGAAATGTTAGCCATCAGAAAGTTTGTCCACAAATTTTTCCTGTTCACCACGTCCACATTCTCCGCACAAGGACTCCAGTCAACAGCTGAAATAAAGTTTGCGTGACGCTTCGTTAGTTGTTTTTCAATGCTCCACAAACGCCACAGTAGCGGTTTGTAGAACATGCAAAATGTCTGTCGCCCTTTGGGCTTCGCTAGTGGATTGTTCCCCAGCGATGCATTTTCCCTCCTGAACGCCAAGCCGTGGTCCAAATGGACAATGGTTGGAAAAACATTCACACTCCTGTTGTTATTGCCTTTACTGCAAGTTGCACTATCCCCTGAACAACCCCATTGTTGACATCCAATAAAAACGAAAGAGTTCTTGTTGGGTGAACGGTCATCGTTGCCAAGGATGTAGTCAAACATTACTTGCTCGGACAGAGCAGCGAGAGAAGCATGGGGTACAACTACTTCTTTATAGAGCGGGTTGAACCATCGGTGCCACCCGGGTATTTTTTTCCTGCCGTATGGCACTCGTAGCGGGCTGCTGAGTAGCGGGATAACGTTTGGGATTTTGATTTGGAAGCTGCACCACGCTTCCAAACCCCCGCGGCGCGTGTACACTTCACCTCCGCTTCCGCGTTCTGCATGTGTTTTGAGGAAAAGAAAAACGTCATTCTGCACCCACTTTTCGTACGTCTTGGTTTCCGCTCCACGAACAAAGAAATTGGGCATGTGTATGTAACGTTGCGATCGCTGATTCAGAGCCACTTGTAAGATTGTCAGTGGAATCGGAAAAAGAAATGTTGGCGGCACCCGTCGCATGCCGAGTTTGCGATCCACCGCAAATGCAGCTACCTCCGCAAAGGGATCTTTGTTAAACTGCCATTGTGGGACCTTCACAATGAAGGCCATTCTCGCGAGACATTTCGGGGGCCATTTCACTTCTAGACAAAAACATAATTTTGACCTAAATTTGATGGTCCGCTGATCGAGATATGGCACAAGGATGTCTAACTGCACCCACACATACAGATTACTGAAATCCACAGGTTTGCCTTTTTTCGTATTGAAATTCATGTTTTTTCTGCGGTCCCATGAAAAGTAGCGCTTTGCGGCGCGGGGAAGGGGAATGAATATTTGCCACCCAGCGGGCGGCCCTGTCACATTCGACTCCGGTTGCTTGCGGTGTGATGCAACTGCCGCCGTCAGAAGTAGCTTCGCCAGATGAATACACGCTGCATCATATTCGTCGTTAAAAGGAGGAGTGGAAACGAGGTCACAGACGTGCGTCAGAATAATTTCCTCTTGCGTCTGCTTCCTTGGATTTTCACAGGGACCTGGATTAACGGTGTCGCGAATGACATCGTCATAAGACCACCACGAGGATAAGTTGGGGGATTCTTTTCCCCCCAAGAGACTTGCCACACGACGACGGCGCACTTTCTCGGCCAGTGTGTAATTTATTCCTCCCGCCGCAGCCCACTTGTCGCTACACTTCAAAAGCACTTCTTGAAAAAAATGTAGACGCACCGCCTCGTCGGATATTGCTTCCTGCGGCACCATCGTGGACGGCGACGCCTCCTCCACATCGTTTTCGGTTATTTTCTCCGTTGTGGAGTTTATATACGGTGGAGGTCTCTTGGGAAAAAGCCCCTTCTCCACCGCATAGTGCGGCGGCAGCGCAACGTCCATCACTGTGTAGGTGCTGTTCAAGATGAACAACAGGAGGCAAAAGGAGGCAAATGTCACGATGATTTCGCGCCTCCGCACATTCAGCCTCTGACAAGAACGCATCTTCCCACCCCGCAGGAGGGAGAAGAAGGGAATTCAGTCACTTCCTCTAGTTGTCAAAATAAATAAAGAGAGGAAAAAAAAAAAGAAAAAAACGGCTAGAAACACAGACAGGAAAAGATTCCCCCAACCTCCCTAGCCACGTTCCAGCATTCATGGCTATTAGTTGAATGTGTTGCGGTAAATAATTCAAAAGGGTGTCGCAAGTTACTTTTGTAATAATTGTGTTACATGTGGTCTGCCTTCCATTTATGAACTCGTCAAGCGAGCAACTTCTCAATTTCAAAACCACCCCATTCCCCCCCCCCCCCTCTCCAAAAAAAAAAAAAAAAAAGAAAATCTAGGGCCTTTTGTTTTCATTCCCTTGTCTCCCCGTCAACTTCCGCCGCCGCCGCTGCTGTTGCTGTGGAGAGAGAAGTTTCCACCACGACATCTTTTGCCTTCATTTCCCCCTCCTCTTCTACCTCTACACTGTACCCGAGGTGCTCCAATTGTCTGTCAAGCAGCAGAAACACAACGCTAATGCAAAGCATACACAATGCCATGAAACGAAACATCCCACGTGCACCCAAGTACTGATAGAGTGAGCCACCGACAATGTTACCAACGAGTGGTCCCACGCCAAACGCGGTAGCACTAAGAAATCCAATGGAGGAGTGAGAAAGTGATTTTGGAAAAGCTCGCCGCACAAAGTGCATGCCAGACAACCACATAAAGCCAAAAGTCAATCCATGCAATGGCTCTAGGCATAGCACAAACCAAGGATTGTACAAGAAAGAGTATCCAGTTACTCGGACTGCCCATGCAAATATTGACATACATAGTAGTTGCCGATCCGTGAAATACTCATGGACGTGCTTGGAGGACCGAAACAGTGGTATCTCAACAACAACTGTCATAATAACTGATAAACCAAGCAGTATCGTTGGAGCATCAATAGAATAGAGAAAAATAAACAAAAATGTGTTGATAATAGCATACCCCATGCCCATAAAACAAAGAGCGGTAAGAAAAACCAATAACCGCCTGTGTGACAAAACGTGACGTAGGACATCAACAAATTTCCTTTGGAAACGTTCCGTCTCATCATGTGGGACAATGGTGAAGCCAATGTACATTGCGGTAGCCATACCCAGACAATATATGACGGCAAGCCCCCACCAATCACTCCGACTGATAAGTGCGGAAATCGTTAGAGCACCAAACGCCCAGCCATATGCCCCGTAGGAACGCATCTTTCCCCATTCTGTTTTTCTATCCGGAGGTAGAATAGACATGGTCCGTTGGTCCATAAATGGTCCCACAGGCACACGGAAAGCAAAGTGTAGCATCATGAGACCAGCAATAAGAAAATGTGAAGTTGAGGGTATGACAAACAACAAAAGCAACGCAGAAACTGTTGAAGCGCACAGATGAATTGACATTGCACATTGATATCGGTCTGCCAGATACGACAAGGGGGAAAGCAAAATGATGACGCTAAATGGCATAAAAGCAATAAGTACCCCAACAGCCAAAGGCGTAAAACCCCTGTGCTCAAGCAAAAGACCATAGTACGGAGAAGCCGAAAGCCCAGCATATATGGCGAAGTAACCGACCTTGGCTCGGGCGCAGCTAGCCGAGATGGACGCCTCCAATGGATTTTCTTCGGCGGAGGGAGGAGGAGGAGGAGCCAAAGCAGGTTCAACACTGGCGGAATCTTCCACAACATTTCTCACATCTTCTGCATGGGGCGTGTCATGAATTTCATCCGCATCCACAGGCTTTCCACTTCTGTCTGGCTCCAGCATAATGGACTCACAGTAAATAAATATGTATGCGCCAGTAGGAACCAGTTACTCGAGGGGTGACGATGATGTCTCCTACGGCTATTGGCGTTCCTCTCTCTTGAACCCCTTTTACCGTGACGTGAAGACGCACACAGTCAAAAGAAAATATGTAATGTATATATATATATATGTAATAAATATAATGTGCCTTCACGCACAATAAATGGGATTGTGACTAAAAAAAAAGAAAAGAAATGAAAACTCACAGCACCAATACATCGGCTGACACCCCCCATCCCACGGAGATATACGCATCAAAAAAAAAAAAAAAACAACAACAACACAAACACAGGCAACAATAAATGAATAATACAGCGGTTCTCCACTCCTGTAGTCATTTACTTAAAGTGACTCTTCATAAAGTGTCGAAACGCCGCGGAACGCTGGGCGCTGTTGTGCACCGCCTCCCACCTCGCCTTTTTACTATCTTTTGCCCCGTCTGCCGCGGTCACAATATTCTGCTCACGCCACTCACGCCTCCGGAACAAAACATCGTGATTATAAGAAGAGACACCCCCAACAGTAGTACTTTTACCGTTGTTGTTGTTGTTGCTGCTACCGGCTCTTGTCGCCTGCACGGGAGGAGCGGCAGCAGCGGAACCACCACAAGTTTTTTCCTCCTTCGTCCGTTGCTTTTCCTGCTGCAGCTGCTCAATACGCCTTCGTTCCCGCTCCAGCTCCACCATTTCTTCGTCTTCACTGGATTCCTCCTCTTCGCCTTCAGAAACAGAGTCTACGGGATGTGCTCTTCCCGCCTCACCATCGTCTGTCTCCACGGGCTCGCGGCGATTGTTGTCCGTGGTATTACCGTCAGCATCATCCGTTGCGGGAAATGTTTTCTTGCCGACATCCTCTTCCCTGCCAACAGCTATGGGGGACGCGGGAGCCACCGCAGGGGCACGGCGACGCTTTATGCCCACTTGTGCGGGCAGACTCTCCTTGTGCACTACTAACCGGCTCATTTCAACGCAGCTGACGTGCCTTTCAAGTGTTGCCTCTCTCCCTTCTCCAGGCCTCGCGAAGACACACAAAAAAAAACCAAGTAAAAAGAACATGCACACATGCACAAAAAAAAAAACGGGGAGGAAACTATCCACGGTAATTACACACGATAAAAGAACAACAGGAGCCGTAAGTGACAGAATACCAAATGTATAAAAGGGAGATGCGCACAATGAATAGACCAAACGGGATTTATAGCGCAATAGAAACCCAAAGAATATTCTATAACTTACTCTTCCCCAATAGAATGGCAAGAAGAAAGGGGAAAAAAAAAAAGAAATGATGTGTTTTTCTTCGTGTGCTCTTGACTGCCACATATAAATATGTATAAATTCAATGCCCGCTAGTGAGTCCAACGATATGGCACTTCATTATCCGTAAACGTCACGCTGTAAAAAAGAAAAAAAAAAAAATAAAAATAAAAGGTGGATTTGCTGAAAGCGTTTCAAGACTCAGGCTTCGCGGTGAACTGCGGGGATCATGCATTTAGGGAGGGGAGGGAGAAAGGCATACAGCTGCCGGGCACTTTCACCAGACAAACACAATGCCACACCATTTCCCTTTTTTTTTTTTTCACAGGCTTCCAAAACAACAACCACCCACCCACCCCACACACATAAAACAAACCTGCAATAAAACCAAAAAAACATATTTCTGTAGAGGGTTCATCTGCATCGCTGGTCCCTTTGGGCCAGCAGCTCGCCACTCGCTCAGGAATTTTTTCTCTGTTTGTCCATATTTTACTCTGCTCTCCGTTCACGGGGTGGCGGGCCGCCAAAACGAAGATCCCGTCTCTTAAGAAGCTCCTCTAGTGAGTCCTCATTTAGCCTCGCGTCTGCCATTCCCGGCACAAACGCCTCGAGAAGCGTCGTGTACAAGCGCACAGTCATATGAAAGGCATCAAAAAGGGCAAGCACTATTTCAAATAGAACCTTCCGGTATAAAGAGAGGGCATATTCACGCAGCCGTCCTCCCAGAGAGGCGTTGCGCTTCGAGTGAAAAATTAACGCCGCCGCCGCCTGCTCCCGTCGTTGGCGATCAGCACCAACGTCAAATACCGACTTTGATGGGGCTGCAGCAACTTTTTTCTTCGTTGCTGTGGCGTCGACAGTACGATCAATCTGTTCAAGGTAGTACTGGGCACTCTCATAGCTGTTGATGGGCCCAAGCCCCGCTACAGCTCGACGCACAAACATATTTATACGGTTAATTGGGGCACCGTAGAGGCGGTTCAGCCCGCGAAGGATGTCAATACTGCGCCCCACCAGTGGGAGTTCGGGTGGTATCAATTCTTGGTTCGCCAGCAGCGTCTGGGCACGCTCACGAGCCTTCACCTGCATCTGGAACAATTCCATCTTCGTTACCTCTCCATGGTTGCCACGTCGCAGTGATTCGTATGGCTTCTGCATTTGGATCGAGGCAAACACATCGGCATCGGTGATACCCCACGTTGTGATTATTTTCATTATGGTTTCTGTGTCCCGCAATACAATGGACTTGAAGATCAGGGCGTACTCCACACGGAACCTCTCCGTCTCCGGGCAGCACAAACCAAAGTCCAACAACACAACCTGCGGGTTCTTGCATTTTTTCACCTGTCGCTGACTTCCATCACGCTGCTCGCTAAGCGGCGGACGGCGTACCAAAACATTGGCTGCATGCGGGTCACAGTGCACAAAGCTGTATTTAAATAACATGTCCCCAAATACGTCAAACACAGTTCGGAGAACGGTGACGGCATCAAACTGCTGGCGCACGGTTTCCACATCGATAAGTTTCACGGCATCGATCCATTCCAAAACCAACAAGCGCGGGGTGACAAGTTCCTTGTGCAACTTCGGGACATACACATTTGGGTTTCCAGCGAGATGGCACCGCATTTGCTCCACGTTGTTTGCTTCAGCAGAGAAGTCGGTTTCACGACGGATACCATCAATAATACTCTTCTTTGCCCAACCCACCGGCATGTTGAAGAGAACTCCAATCATCCAGGTGACAAATCGGTAGGTCTCAAGGTCCCAAAAGACCTGGTAGCGAATTTTCGGCTTTTGTACCTTGACAGCAACTTCCATTGGCTCATCTTGCGGGGTCGCGGGTCGCAACTTGGCTCGATGCACTTGTGCTATCGACGCAGAGGCGACAGGAACGGGATCAAAGTAAGAAAACAACTCCTCCACTTTTTTCCCGGTTTCCTCCTTAATGATTCGACTAATTTCGTCAAAAGGCACAGATGGGGCTTGATCCAGAAGCACCTTTAAGACATCCGTGTACTCGCGTGGGAGAATATGATTCAGCGCGTTAAATCCCTGTCCAATTTTAATGTAAAGACCCTCGTTCTTCAAACAGACGTCTAAAATCATTTGGGCTGCCGTACGATGCAGACTGGAATACTCTTCGGAAGTCTTAGGGGTTGTTGTCTTGTACAAGTAAGAGATTTGCACTGTCGTCTTTATCGTCCGCAGAGAACGAGTAAAGGAGTTGGCTGTCCAGTGGTCGGCACAAACGTAGCTGGCAGCCATCACACCAGCCCCAAAGAGAAATCGACGCCCCCACTTGCCTGCGCGTGAAGGTTTGGCGGGTGCAGACCGGCGCAGCAGATGATACATCGGCCCAAACAAATGGCTTGCGTACCAAGATGCATGCATTTATTTATAAAAGAAGAAAAAAGGAACACACACACAGAAAAATAAATAAATAAATAAGGGAACACATCTCCAGTGACACAATTTCTATACGAAACAGTGATAACAACACATGAGAGAACAACAACGACGACCAGAGGTTGTTAATAATAATAAAAATAATAATAATAATAAAAACAACAAAAACAAAACAAAACAGCTGCCACGCGCCAATAAAGATTGGTGACAAGAAAGGAAAAAACAACAACTAGGCCTCTCCATCATGGTGTATTCGTTGTACATCGTCCTCCTCCCGCACGATCGGTGCCGAAGGAGAGATAATGGGCAGCGCGCACAGTCGTGGGCTTAATAAAAACACTGGAATGCAGTTCCCCACCCCCCATTGGGTCCTCTCCCTCCCCTCAACCAATCACTTTGTTTTTTTACTGGTAAAACCTATCGGCTCCATTCACGGCATCAACCATGACCAGGCCAGTTCCCGCACACAACACCTCCGCGCTCCTTAAACGGCTCCCCTGAGGGTACAGTGACTCACACATCGCTACCGCGCCGATTGCCATGACACGCGGCAGCCGCCCTGCGTCAAGCACCTCCCCCTCCCTCCCCGGTCTTGAGAGACTCCATTAAAGAGAAAATTAACCCTGCCGGGGATTAATGTCGCACGACAGTCACATGAATTCAAGTGTGAAGCCATGAAGAAGGCCGAATTTCGGGTGTGACCCCCCAAAATTATGCACCAACTGGTAGCCCCCCATACACGCCCCGCTCGCGCTTTCATCACCGACGTGATAATTTGCATCTCTGAGAGACGTTCGTAAAGCCGCCTTGCTTTACGGAATAAAAAAATTTCAATCATGATAATGAACAACAACAACAGAAACTGACATTCTTGACAAAATGGGAGGAAGAAAAAAGCACCCATCCCTGAAATAAATGTAAAAAGACACTTCCTAATCAGTAATTATCCCATTCACACACATCGTATAACCCCATCCTAAACTCAATTGACTGCATACGACAGAAGACGGGCAGAAATGCCTGTAATTATCGCTTCTCCAGAGGAGGTACCTTTTCCCACACGGCTTGATACGGCAAATGCAGTAAAGGGCTAAAAATCAACAACAACAACAAGCCAATCGCCAACTGCGCAGTGCTCACGAACTATCCGAAGTAATTAAGAAGGGGATTAATGACTGGTACTCCAATGCCCCCATCCATATGCACCGTAGAAACGCAACACACTGCACACTTCGCACCGGTCCTTAAAGGACTCTGGTGGAACGGAGTCAAAAACAAAAGAAAATGCAGGGTGAAGTACATTGCGACGATCCATGAAAGCCTTTTCCGCGCTGGTCACAAATGATACTTGGATGACATCGGTACAAATCCACCTCCATACAATAAAAAGGTGGGGAAATGATAAGATAACAAGTAAACAACATGAACAAAAGAAACCCAAAATACATCTAAACCAAATCTCCTTTTCCACAAGAAACACCCTCCGAAATGACTCGTTTGTCGCACAAAGAAAGTAAATAGCCAGTTATTTCCACCTCTACGACATTGACTGAGAAATACTGCAAAGGTGAAAAAAAAGGGAAATAGGATCATTGGGCGACCCATCCACCATCCACGGTGATTGTGGTGCCGCGAATCATGTCTGCCCCTGGACTTGCGAGAAACACCGCAGCGTCTCCAACCTGCTCAACAGTCACAAATGCTTTTGCTGGTTGTTTTTCACAAAGAAATGCCTGAGTTGCGGCCTCCATGTCACCGCCGTATTTTGCTTCAGCAACCGCTTTGATTTGTTCCTCCACCAAAGGTGTATAGACGTACCCGGGACATATCGCGTTGCAAGTAATTCCTGTCGTGGCAGTTTCCAGGGCCACAACTTTGGTGAACCCAATGAGACCGTGCTTGGCAGCACAGTAAGCAGATTTATTCATCGAACCCACCAACCCTTGAACCGAGGCAATGTTAATAATGCGGCCCCACCCGCGCTGACGCATGCCCGGCAGACACAGCTGCGTCGCATGAAAAGCGGATGTGAGATTCAGAGCGATGATTTCGTCCCACTTGTCGGAAGGAAATGTTTCCACTGGGGAGACGTGCTGAATACCGGCGTTATTGACCAGAATTTCCACGGCGCCCAGCTCCTTCTCCGTAAACTTTATCAGCGCTTCGACCTGTGCACGATCTTTCATGTTGGCAGCAAAGCAGCGAACGCGCGTGCCGTAGGCGGCCACTTTTTCGACAATCGCTGAATCCTCTGGACTCTGGCGCCTGCCATTAATAACAACATCCGCTCCAGCCATCGCCAGCCGCATCGCAATGCCGAGACCGATACCCTTTCTTGACCCTGTGACAACTGCCACCCTCCCTGACAAAACTCTTTTTTGTCCTGACATTGCCTTCGCTTAAAGGAATTTCCCCCTGAAAGGAAAAAATAAATAAATAAAATAAAATAAAAAAAACCGCCACCAGCCGCCAAAGAGGCCCCCAAAACAGCAACAGCAACAACAAATAAGAACAACTTGTTGCATAATCTACTCAAGGGTATGGACTTCACAAGGAGGTTAAGAAGAAAAAAAAATATATATATATATATATAGAGAGAGAGATACTTGGAGATATCTTCTTAGTTATTTTTCAGTCAGCAACCCCTCTCGCCGGCGCCGCTTACTCCTTCCCTCGACTCAATGACACGAATAACTTTCTCTGGATCAACACCGCGACGCAGCAGCTCTCGCACTAGCTTCATGGACCGTTGGACAGACTCCATTACGGTGGGCTGGTTTCGCTGTAGCGGTGAGCCCACCAAATACGCGATAGATGCCAAGCACTCCAACTGACAATGCTCGTTTGACCCGAGCAAAAACGGCTTCCGCTGAGGCCGGGCCGCCACAATATCGCTGTTACCCTCCCTATTGGCAGCGGATGTCGCGTGGCCAGCGTTGAAGGCTGCACTGACATTCCCTGGCCAAGTCGCCTCACCGTATCGCGGACCGCCTCCATGAGTCTCATCCTCGGCCCAGCTAGATACGGAATTGCCACCCAGCAAACTCATCTTTTTATCCTCCTGCCAAAACAAACCCTCAAAAGAAACAACAACAACAAAAAAGGGATAAAGAGAGTGCGTAAAGAAACGGCCAGCTTCCCATCACACACACACAGAAAAAAGGAAACATCGACCAATGGAGAAGTTATACCTACAAACATGAATCCCCGGCGGCCAGGTGGAGACAAACGCAGCGCCATGAAGCGGTTCCAGAAACAACACCGTCCACGGTTACTGCTGGGAGGCATACCCGGAAACACGCATGGCTCAGATAGACACATACACACACAAAAAAAAAAAAATGATCCGACGACCCGCAGACCATTGGTGTAGATTCGTTAGGCGCCAAAAAATATGAGACTCCCCGTACTCACCGCCACTGTTGAGGGTAAGGCCAAACAACAATTTGGACACACAGAGAATATTTGGAAGTTTAGATAGAAAAGTACTCGTGAGTGCGTGTGTGCATCAAATGTTCATCACGCAATATGCAATAAGAAGAAGAAGAAAAAAAAAGGGTCTTACCGATGCAAGGACAGTATGACCAACGGTTCATGAAGCCAAGTGAAGGCACATGTTATTGCTTTATACGGTTTATTAGCTTGCATCCCAGTACATTAACGCAAAGTTCCCAACCACAAACTGCAAAAAAGACGATACTCCAACCTCTACACAACCCAACCATTAAAGCAGCAACAGGGCCACGTACGCCCCATTCACAGTCAAGCCAAATCGTGGAGTTACCCCACATGCGACTGCCTGCGCCCCGCTTATCGCCCCCCGAGAGTCTTAGCTTTTCCCTCGTGACTGTTGACTCGCCTGATCCGCCTCACTCATTCTCCCTTCCCAACTACGCCCATACAAAAAAAAATAAAATAAAATAAAATAAATAAAATAAAAAAGAAAAAAAATGGAAGAAGACACGGAAGACCCCTTCAACAGAAAAAAACACGCAAAATGTGAACCGTAGGCGGGGAGGAGCACAAGTCAATAGCCGCAAAAAAAACAAAAACAAAAACAAATCGACAACAACTAATAATAACAATAACAATAATAGGGATCACCGTTGGCTTTTTACAAACGGGACATCGCCACATCCAATTAAAAAACACACACACACACAAAACAACAACAAATAACAACCAGGGCCATCAGCGATACACAGACACACACACAGGTACAAGGAAGTAAACAGTTATTTTATTAAAACGAAGTCTAGGCGACCAAGCATGACTAAAAAAAAAAAAAAAAAGAAAAATGGACAGATTAAACCTCAAAAAAAAAAAAAAAAAAAAAAAAAAACAAAAACAAACAACAACAACTGCAATGGAAATCCTATCCATTCTACACGCTCCAATTATAACGCTTTTGTATATTTCTACTCTTCGTTTTTCTTCTTCTTATCTTCGTCATGCATAACAGATTTGGTACTGTCTACGCTGTGGGACACATTGGGCCCGTCCTCTTCCTTTTCCCGCCAAACCGTCGATCCAGCCGAGTTACTGCGGGTGTAATGGGCGCGGCCATATACCCTTGTTGAGGGAAGTCGACGCAGATATATTCGATCGGACCCGTCAGGGCCGTTTGGCGACACCTCGCAGATAATATGTCCCCCTTTCTGAGGCCGGCTTAAAGGATTTTCGCCAGCTGAGAACTTCTTTCCAGACTGCGGAGAGTTTCGACGATTTGGCCGTCCATTGCGGCCTCCACCCGCCTCCCCAATACTTGCTTCATTTCTTCCCAACTCTCCTGAATTATCTCGGCTATCGTCTTTGTTGCTCAATGTTGTCACCACCTCAAAGAACTCTGACTGGCCGCAAAGAATATCGTTCTGCGCGTCGATCAATGCATTGCCTTCAGCACATTGTTGGTGAATGTACTGCTGTGGCAGCTCGACGGGAATCGCCTCGGGATAGAAAGGCTCCATTCTTGTGCTTCGTACCCGTTCTAATCTCATTTTTCTCCGGAGAGATGAGCAGATAAAATATGTAACCACCACAAGAAATAGGACAACAACTGTCACAATAGAAAATACAAATGTACTTAGCATCGCAATACGTCTCCTTCTGGCGAGAACAAAGCCGGCTATTTCTATATAAATAAGTAAGTAAATAAATAAATATATTTATGTGTATGTATTTATATATAATACGGAATTACAGTAATCTTTTTCCCCCTTTCCCCTTCCACCTTAAATGTCTATTTCAGTTATGTGCACCGACGCTGCTGCCATCATTTGAAAAGGAAGAGTGCGTGTGTGGAGAATACATATACACACACAAAAAAGGAAAGAGACAGAAGAGAAACAAAGAAAAAAAAAAGAAAGGAAAAAGTAAATTATGTAAGGAGGACCATCGGATGCGCCATCAAAGCCAAATTACAATCAACACAGTTGTATTATTTTTTTTACTGGGTTGCTGATGTTGTTGTTTATATCAGCGACTGAGTGACACAAGCCGTAATGTCTCCCCCTCCCCCATCCTTTTGTGGTGCGATCCCCAACTCACTGTAGTAGAGGCAGCAGGCAAATAGAAAAACAACAACAACAACAACAAGGCACTGCCGCCCAAAAAGAAAATTTTCCCCGTTCCTGTCGGCGCTGCGCATTGTTATTACAGAGACGGGATATTTGCCACATGAAAATGAATTTACCCACTTAAATGCCTCTTTCCCTTCTCACTTCTGCTAGGGCGCACAGAGACACACACGGCCCAATGTCATCTACTCATCACCGTCGCCTCCCGCAAGGTGAGTTCCTTCATCAAGTCCTCCGCATTCGTTGCACGGATCTCCTTTCCCACTTGCTTCAACCCATTAAAGGTCTGAATGGTGGGTGTGCCGGTAACAAGCTGATACTCCACAAGTGACCGTGTGTCGATGTCTTTTGTGTCCACGCTATACCACACGATGCGGCGCTTTTCGGCCTTACACTGCTCTGACGCCTGCTTGTACATCTCCGCAAACGACAAGCATGGAATACAAGCATGTTTCCAGAATTTAATTACCATGAGGTCATCCTTGTGTTCCCGCAGCTTTTGCAAGAACTCGTCCTCACTCTTAATTACCGGCAGCTTTGTTGCCTCAAGAAACCCGCTTTCCTCAAACTCTTGAATCCACTTGGGGAAGTTCTCCTGCATGAAACGCTCATAGTCGTTACCGCTAAGGTTCTCAGGCAGCTTGCGGTCACCAAAGATACGTCGGATGATGTTGTGCGACATCTAGGGAATAAAGAAAAAAAAAAAACAAATAAAAACGTGGCAAATATAAAAATTAAAAAGAGAAAGAAACAAACAAACAAAAAACAACGGATAGTGGCAGAGCCCACGTGATAACAGCGCAAAGAAACAAACAGGACCAAATGCATAATAAAAAAAAGTTCTCCACGAAAGAAAGAAAAAAGAGATAAATAAACAATTGCACGATGCCGCACTGACGGTCAATAAAATAACTGGCAAGGAAAGGAAAAAAAAAAAAGAAAATGTCATGGCGTCCGGTACAGGAAGGGGAAGGGGGAGGCGTCTCAACGACGCAAGGCTGGTCGCAAGCTCGGCAAAACTGCAAGAAGGAATTTATCGAGCAAAATACCCCATCGCCCTTCCCCTTCCTCTTTTGACATTCCGTTTCACTCTGCCAGACCCTTTGGCCAGTGGCCGTAGTACCGCACGTGTCGAATCTTCCACCAAAGTTCGCTGTGAAAGTGGGGGTCTGTGAAGTCAGTCTCACGTATTTCAGCTCGCGAGGAGGACAGACGCGACTGTCCAGGTGACATCATCGTTACCGTCATATCAAGACCCTCGTGCTCTGGGTGACGATCTGAAAAGCGTTTGAGCCTTAGCCACGGGTCTTGCAAAACCTGCTCTTCATCCGTCTTGCCGTAGACATTGACGTCCCAGAAGGGCTTGTTGTTCTTGATGCTATGAAAGCCGCGAATTGTCAGCCACAAGACAAATAGAAACGGCATTCCATAAGCACCAATGGAATGATTTAAAAATTTCTCAGGGCTTTCCTTCCAATGCGCAAAGAGAAGCCGATGCCATTGACGCCGGTCTTTGCGTGTAAACTTCCTCTTCGCCTCCACGCGATTGATGTAATATACAGCGTCATGAAAGCTTGGCGGATCGTTGGACGCCGTAGGCATCAAGTCAGCGGGGATGACAACACCGCCATACTCGTCTATTTCATTCAGGGTGTAGGTTTCAAAATTGGTGACATTTTTCAGGTGATCCAGTCCTGGTGCACGCCAGCGAATGACTTCACCGCCCTCAAGAACGCGTTGCAAATAAAATTTGTTGTCACGCGTGCGGATCAGTGATAGATCCGTCTCCGTACTGTTACGTAAGGGACGACCGTACTTGTCAATATACACTAGCGTCGTAACGGCAGGACGCGGTGCAATCACCGTACGGATGCCGCGAGACTGCAGCAAAGAGACGCCAAAAACCGAAGTTGTTGCCGTATTGTGCGACAACCGCAAAGTAAGGCGTCGAGAGGTAACACCCTCACGACGCATACGAGATGCCATCAGCATTATCGTCTAGTGGAAAAGAACGGCTGCAGTGCGTATAAGTAGTGATGACTGTAAGGGGGGAAAGGCAGAAACACCAGGTGTGTGTGTGTGTGGGGTGTCTTCTGCCACGAGAGACCAATCGACCTTGAGGGAGGGGGGAGAAAAATATAAAACAACAAAAGTAAGAGAAATAAAAGAAGCAAAAACACAGGGCATGACAATAACAGATGCAAAAATAAATAAATAAATAATATATTTTTTTGTTTTCAATCTATTTATTCAATAAAATTCTAATACAAGCTGCCGATTTGCCATTTGCTCTACAGAATGTTCGAAGCATATCTAAGAGGATCGGGCAATTCCCCTCCCAAAAAAAAACAAAAAGATCTAAAAACCTCATTACACAAAATATTCAGTGCCCATTAAATTCATTTAGTCGCTGTTTCTATTTTGAGACCCCCACCCGTCCACTGGTGGTGCTCTCGTGGGGGGAACAATGGGTTGTACAGGACGTTGACCCCTCGCCGTTCGGGAGAGGGCTCGATTGGAGGGTGAGAGCGGTGGCCCAGGCTGCCTCCGCGTCCCACGTTGTGAGGACGGTAATTCAAGTGGTTTCTGTTGGGGTGCTTCCCTTGGACCAGTTGGCTCTCCGCAGGCGATTGTTCCCTTTGCAGCGCCAATTTGTTTCCGCTGCCGCAATGTGCCATCAAGAGCACTGACAGCAGCTGGAATGTTCTCCTTGCACAAAGATGGCCCTTCTCCCAGTGAGCATGAGGGGCCATCTTGCAAATTGGTTCCAAGGGGCACCAAAATCTTTTTCGCACCGCGTATCTGCTCTCGATTCGGCGAAGGCGAGCAAGATGAGGCTAAAAATGAACACTGTGCAGCTGGTCGGCAACGCTCGTCATCGCTTTTATTTATCTCCTCGTCATGCCGGGCATGGTACACCTCCGATCCAGTGTCTGCAGAGGGTATATTTCCTTTCATGTGAGTGGAGTTCCACACTTCCAGCGTCGTTTCCAAGGATGATCGCTTCATGCTCCCTCTCGAGCCTCTGAATAACGCGTCACCGCCAGTTTCTTCTAACCGATTTTCGTTGCCTCGAGTGAGCCGTTGGTGAAGCTTCATAACTTCAATCGGAACGTTCCTGCCTCTCGCTGACCCAATACAACCTGGACGAGAAACGGCGGGAACCATCATAGACGAATGTTTCGGGCGTGGTGGGGGTGAGGATTGATGTGGATGCTCGTCGTTCGGAATGCCATTTTTAACGTCCATGCGCTCGCATCGCGGTTTCAGTCGGTGAGCCGCCGTGCCAGCCCCTACCGTGGCCGATGATGGTCCCCCAACACTGCCCGCAAATTGCTCAAGCCGCCCAAGAGCGTCAACATTCCGCATTCTGCGACGCTCAAACGGGGACACAAAAGTCGGCTGCATCACTTCTGCAGCCACTTCGACACCACTCCCAGATGCCTTATCGTGCAGACTCGTCTTGATTCTAGCAGATGTAAAAAAGCTTCCTGAAGCGGAGCTGCGCCGTGGCGCTGGATCTCTGGCATGCTCCTCCAAAGCTAAACGCATGACGGTTGTTGCGGGTCGTTCTTTGTCGATGCAGGGGCGTCTCTCAACTTGAGACAAATAAGATGCAAAACCATCAACCTTCGAAGCTACACGAGAGCCCTGCACTGGCAGCAACCGCGCCAAGGGATGTAATGCCTCTTGGCACCCCCGCAATATGTGGTCCTCGATACGCAGGTGGAGGGAGTTGCTGAGGCGCAGTAACAACACTGCAATGAAAATGTTCCAACCGATGGTTTTTTGCCCTAAAGATGGCCGCATGATGTGATAATCGTAATCCGTTGATATCGCCACGTCGAGTTCCCCCAATTCCACTTCCTTATTTCCAGCGTCCTCGGTGACACCACCGGCACAGTCTCGGAGCCGTTCTTCCGCAGAAATCATCTCTTCCCACACTTCTTCTCTAAAGCGTTCAGAATCCATGCGTTTGAGGCATTCACGCTGCGTGATCTCATCCTCTGCCAAAAAAAAGCGACTCATAACGTCGGTAGTTGCAACCAACGAAATGACGGCGCGGTAACCACTCTCGCTGAGCCGCCGCGCCGGTGGGCCGCCGTTTCCACCTCCGCTTGGGATGTAGGAGTACGACTGAAAGAGTGACCAGAGGTACTGCTTAAAAGCATTAATATCATTGGAAGTCATGTATTCGCTTCCGCGTGAGTTCAAAATTTTCTTCTCTACAGCTCCAATTCTTCCTGTGCCTCTTCAACTAAATTTTCAAAAGATTCTCGTGTACCGCTTCACCACACAGGGTAGATACGCACACGGAATAATAATAATAATAATGAAAAAGTCCTGGAAAAAGATGTAGCGCCAATAGGAAAGAAAAAAAAAAAAGAATGGAAGCACATTGATCACCGGGAGCCTCTCAAAACAACAACAAAAAGGAAAAGGATCCATCCCCACCCCATTAAGAGATAAAATTGCTCTGGCTAATGCTGGTTTCTTCTTTGATCCCTACGAACGGTGCAAATTTAACACATTACATACCTTCGTTGCAGGAGAAAATAATGTGCAATAAGCATAACATATTCCTGTTGCTTTAATTAGCGCAGTCGGCCCCTTGAAGAAAAACAACAACAACAAAGAGGTTCTCCAAGAGCACAAAAAATATGTATATATTTATTTATTTATGGAAAAGACAGAAAAAAAAAAAAGAAGAAAAGGCCTCTGCTGCCTTTTTCTCCAATTTCTTCAGGGTATTTGATGTGTCTGCCACCTCGCCCCGCGGCTTTTGTTCCTCGACAGCATACCACCGACGTTTGCTTTGAGAAACTTCAAAGGTAGCACCGCCGCCCGCATTGAGACACCAAGTTTGTCCATCTCTGACCACTGCACCGGGATGGGGTTTAGCCCCGCGGCGGCGATGCTGTCCATGGACCGCTCGTATCCTTTTTGTACCAACACGTCTGTCGTGAAATCAACACCGTAAAAAGACAGAAAATGACATCCAGGCTCGAGGTACACAACATTCATCTCGGCTTGAGGTTGCTTCTGCTGGTACTGATCCACTGCCAATAGGCCATGCTCATCTTTCCAGGTTAAGAGAACGTTGTTTCCGGCGAAACCAAAGTAGTCACCAAGCGGTGGTGCGTCTCCTTCTTGCTCCAGTGTAAAGACATCAAAGGAGAACTGGTCCTCCTTAACCTCAAACAACTGCCTCAGCGTTGAGTGAGCCACTGCATTTGTGCGAGGGCCATGCCCAACTGCAATGCCGGTTGGCAAGCATACAATATCACCGCTGTGACAACGACAGCTTTCCGTATCCTGTAGGTACGAAGCAAGTGTAGATGGGCCACCGGCACCCCGCACATATCGCATCGACTCCATAAACTCTGTTGCGCGATGCTCCATGCCTGTTAGAGGCATTCCTAAAAAAGTAGCACCAATAGAGGCCATTTGATCTGCTACACGTAACGCCTCCACAGAGGGTCTCTCGGACATCAAATGAACCTTATCAACTAAGGATGAGTGCTGCAGGGTCTTGTAGAAATCCCGAAATTGATGGATAAGCATGTCGCGATTGATGACAATCCCATTGGGTCCGGCACTAGGAACTGATCGATAATGGGGCGAACGAACAAAGGCATGCAATGCCTTGTTCCCAGAAGTGCGTCGCAGCATGATGGATTTTATCCCCTTTCTAATAGAAACAAAGCCTTACTGCTTCTTCCCCTCCCCTTTTTTTTTTATGTTGTTCTGTTCCTTATACCGTAAACCGCCGCCCTTCTCTTGTTGTTGGACTTTGATTAATTCCTCTCTCAACTTTGCTCTCCAGTAACGGGTAGCCAAACTGCAGATGAATGGCCACAGTACAGGCTTCGGTCGCGGGGAAGTTAACACGGACGACACAATTGGCAGGAAAAGTGCAAAAGGAAGGAGAAAAAAAAAACGGTAAAAAGCCAAATAGAACACATTATATATATATATATATATTCTTTTCATTCTCAGGGCCACTAACCGGGAATTCACACTTCTTCACAAGAAGAACGGACAATTCATGTGTTCTTCATTTACTCTTTCGGAGGTGGGTTTCCGCAGTACCGCCTCGCAATGTAACGATGAACATCTACATACTTCCAGTATGTCCCACGCCACGATTCCGATGCGATGTTCTCGGACAAAGGTGCAGGCTGCCACAAATACCTATTCTTCGGAGGATACATGGACGGACTTGCGCGGTGTTCATCGCTGTGTCGTACCCTAAGTGAGCTTACTGCCTCAGACACTGCACCGCAAGAGGGCTTTGCAGAGATGTGTTGTATTTGTTTGTTATACCACAAAACAGATGGCACAACGGGGATGCATGTGGGCAAAACTTCGAGAGTCGGCGCTGAGGTCGCAACGACTGGAACCACCAGAGGTTGTGTGAATTGTGACTTCAAAACTGGCGCCGCAGTTGTTGTTGCCAGCGTAGGGCCTTGCGTTTGTTGTGCAACAAAAGCAGCCGTGGGCAAAGATACCGAAGACTTTTTTTGCGGTATTGGAACAGAGGCTGGCAATTGAGACGGATAGCTACTACCTGCCGTAACACGCGTGGTTCCCGTCGGAACCGGAAATTTTTCCACAGGTGGCGGTTGTGTTGGTGGTGGAACCGCCGCAGTCAACATCTTGAATGCCCTATTTTTTTTCTAAGAGGTTCCCGTACCGCAAACCCAAACACCCTTCTCGTCAACCCCAAGTAAAAAAAAACAAAACAAAACCAAGAAGTCATGCTTGAAGAGCAATCAAGTTTATGTGACTCCTAATCGTACAAATCAAAAGAAAACCAGAAATTAAAACAATAAAAGAAGTGGTATTGCAAGTTGAAATTCAAAGTTATTTTTTCTCTAAGTAACTTCGTGACAAATTCTATGGCGATGTTGGGCTCATCTCCCCGGGACTCCTTTTCTCGCTCAGCGGAACCAGCCGGATTTTGGGTAGTCTTTTTCCCCGTCTCCTTCGCTTTTCAAGGTCTGGTGCACGAAGACTTGGCTCCCCGCCGTAGAAGCGCCGCTGAATATAGTGGCCCACATTCTTATTGGTCCACTCTACACCCTTCCAAGATCTAGCACCCTCGACAGCACCAGCCCGAGCCAACGCCTCAAGAAGGGCATCTTTATGCTCTGGCGGGGAAGTGGAAAATTGAACAGCTTGAATACCAGAAGTAGAAACAGAGCTAGCCGGGGCCACACCCGTGCCTCCCAACGGCTGTGTTGTGGCCGAGAATGGCTGTGCCGTTGCCGTGGTCACACCCGTACCTCCCAACGGCTGTGTTGTTGCCGAGAATGGCTGTGTCGTTGCCGTGGTCACACCCGTGCCTCCCAACGGCTGTGTTGTGGCCGAGAATGGCTGTGTCGTTGCCGTGGTTACACCCGTGCCTCCCAACGGCTGTGTTGTGGCCGAGAATGGCTGTGCCGTTGCCGTGGTCACACCCGTACCTCCCAACGGCTGTGTTGTTGCCGAGAATGGCTGTGTCGTTGCCGTGGTTACACCCGTGCCTCCCAACGGCTGTGTTGTGGCCGAGAATGGCTGTGTCGCTGCCGTGGTCACACCCGTGCCTCCCAACGGCTGTGTTGTGGCCGAGAATGGCTGTGCCGTTGCCGTGGTCACACCCGTGCCTCCCAACGGCTGTGTTGTTGCCGAGAATGGCTGTGTCGCTGCCGTGGTCACACCCGTGCCTCCCAACGGCTGTGTTGTGGCCGAGAATGGCTGTGTCGTTGCCGTGGTTACACCCGTGCCTCCCAACGGCTGTGTTGTGGCTGAGAATGGCTGTGTCGTTGCCGTGGTCACACCCGTGCCTCCCAACGGCTGTGTTGTTGCCGAGAATGGCTGCGCCGTTGCCGTGGTCACACCCGTACCTCCCAACGGCTGTGTTGTGGCCGAGAATGGCTGTGTCGCTGCCGTGGTTACACCCGTGCCTCCCAACGGCTGTGTTGTTGCCGAGAATGGCTGTGTCGTTGCCGCGGTCACACCCGTGCCTCCCAACGGCTGTGTTGTGGCCGAGAATGGCTGTGCCGTTGCCGTGGTCACACCCGTGCCTCCCAACGGCTGTGTTGTTGCCGAGAATGGCTGTGCCGTTGCCGTGGTCACACCCGTACCTCCCAACGGCTGTGTTGTGGCCGAGAATGGCTGTGCCGTTGCCGTGGTCACACCCGTACCTCCCAACGGCTGTGTTGTTGCCGAGAATGGCTGTGCCGTTGCCGTGGTTACACCCGTGCCTCCCAACGGCTGTGTTGTGGCCGAGAATGGCTGTGCCGTTGCCGTGGTCACACCCGTACCTCCCAACGGCTGTGTTGTGGCCGAGAATGGCTGTGTCGTTGCCGTGGTTACACCCGTGCCTCCCAACGGCTGTGTTGTGGCTGAGAATGGCTGTGTCGTTGCCGTGGTCACACCCGTGCCTCCCAACGGCTGTGTTGTTGCCGAGAATGGCTGTGTCGCTGCCGTGGTCACACCCGTGCCTCCCAACGGCTGTGTTGTGGCCGAGAATGGCTGTGTCGTTGCCGTGGTTACACCCGTGCCTCCCAACGGCTGTGTTGTGGCTGAGAATGGCTGTGTCGTTGCCGTGGTCACACCCGTGCCTCCCAACGGCTGTGTTGTTGCCGAGAATGGCTGTGCCGTTGCCGTGGTCACACCCGTGCCTCCCAACGGCTGTGTTGTGGCCGAGAATGGCTGTGCCGTTGCCGTGGTCACACCCGTGCCTCCCAACGGCTGTGTTGTTGCCGAGAATGGCTGTGCCGTTGCCGTGGTCACACCCGTACCTCCCAACGGCTGTGTTGTTGCCGAGAATGGCTGTGCCGTTGCCGTGGTTACACCCGTGCCTCCCAACGGCTGTGTTGTGGCCGAGAATGGCTGTGCCGTTGCCGTGGTCACACCCGTACCTCCCAACGGCTGTGTTGTGGCCGAGAATGGCTGTGTCGTTGCCGTGGTTACACCCGTGCCTCCCAACGGCTGTGTTGTGGCCGAGAATGGCTGTGTCGCTGCCGTGGTTACACCCGTGCCTCCCACTGGCTGTGCTTGTTTCCCGAGGCCCGCAGAAAACGACGCGGCTTTGACGCCGTAAGTGGGGGCAGGAGATGAAGAAGAAAATGCATTTGTGTCCAATGTATTCGGGGTTGCATCTACTCCAACACCTGAGACACCTTCTCGTAAAACCGGTAGCAAGCGGACCACTCCAGGGGCAAATGAACCCCACGGCGGCAAAGTAGCAGCCGAGACTTTTGTGCCTGTTGTTACCGGAGGCGAGAGCTGAACTGTATTCGCACCGGGTACCCCGGGGGCCACGTTGCTTTTCGTCCCTGAGAGGGACTGGAGTGCTGGAAAATCCAACACGCCTAGTTCTGCCCGAGCCACACGAAGAAGCTCCAACACCGTACGCGTCTCATTATCAATATCTTTCAGCCTTTCCTTGGACATTTGGAGTTCATTCTCGACGGATTCCAGCCGCTCCTTGGCAAGCTGATATTCCTCCATGGTACTCGCCTCGCGCCTCTGCATGTGCTTCGGAGTAAGTGACGCGTTGGAAAAATTCAAAAGATCCAACATACGCGTATTTTGCTTCTCTGACACAATCAACTTATCACGTAAGAAATTATTCTGCCTCAACACGCTCTCGCGAAACTCGCGGTAAGGGGTCGAACCTGTAAGGTACCAAAAGCCCTCTGCGAACCTCTCCTGGTCGTCGGTCATTGGGACATACTCGTCCTGGAACCAGCAGCGTATCTTGCTGTCAGTACCACACGACCAGATACAGAATCGACGCAGCTCGGCTGGTCCAACAAGGGCAGTGATGCGAGCGCCCCGGTGATCCTCGATCCGCTGTACCAGCTGACAGTCCTCCGCGTCAAACACGGCAATGATGCCATCGGCCCCACCGGAGTATACACGGGAGCCGATCTTTCGCAGGGAAGCCACGCGACCACCGTGCGCGTGCAGCACACGCAATGCCTCACACGTGTTCAGCTTCCAGGCAATAACTCGCCCGTCATTGTCACCCGACCACATCGTCACGCCAACACGGCACAGCGCTGAGACGCCCGCGCGACCGTGGAAGTGACCGGTCAACTGCGCCTCACCACTCCCCGCATCCCACACCCGCACGGTGCAGTCGTCGGACCCGCTCACAACCGCGTTGCCCTCCGCGTACAGGCAACGAACGTAGTTGGTATGCCCGTGCAGCACCCGAATAACTTTCCCGTCTTCTGCACTCCATTGCGCAATTTTGAAGTCGCTACCTCCAGAGTACACGTAGCCACCGAACTCCGCAAGACAGTACACACCGCCAGCGTGCTTATTCATCTGCCGCACTAGAGCAAAGGACCGGGCGTCATACACCTCAACACTGCCGCTCGAGAGGCCCATCCAAACCTGCGGTCCCTTGCTTTGTGTTGTCACGGCAATCAGCGACAAAGTGCTACTACCCTTCTTTCCTCCTGACGGCTCTACATTCCATTTTTTTACAAGTTCGGTTGTGCGCGCATTGTGTACTTCAACCCCATTCTCAAGTGCCATCCACACATGATGAGCACAGGTAACCATCACTCGAGCGGGCGATGCAGTGACAAACCTCTTGTCTATTTCGCCCAATTCTTGTCTGCCCGACGGCCATCTGTCATGCTTTCCCTGTAACATTGTGTAACACTTCCTTCGCCACAGGGCTCCTTCCTGCCGGCACTCTGCTAGCTATTTAAACTACTAACAAATAGGGAAAGGATTCAGTGATCCAAGGAAACAACACAGAGGGGATAAAATATTTTCATTCACAAAACTAGAGATGCCCTTGCACATGCTTCTATCATAACGAAGTTCATGGAGCTTAAAAAAATCTATGCGGCGCTTCAAAACGTTTCAAACCACTTATGGAATGCGATATACATATATTAAATAAAAACTTCTACTTCAAAGTCAAATGATGTTGGCTATTCCTCTGTTCAAGAAAAAGATGCCTTCGCACCAGCAGACCTCGGCCCAGTTGGAGGCGCAGGCACACTCGCAGTTGGAGGCGCAGGCACACTTGTAGTTGGAGGCGCCGGCACACTCGCAGTTGGAGGCGCAGGTACACTCGCAGTTGGAGGCGCAGGTACACTCGCAGTTGGAGGTGCAGGCAGACTCGCAGTTGGAGGCGCAGGCACACTCGCAGTTGGAGGCGCCGGCACACTCGCAGTTGGAGGCGCCGGCACACTCGCAGTTGGAGGTGCAGGTACACTCGCAGTTGGAGGTGCAGGCAGACTCGCAGTTGGAGGTGCAGGCAGACTCGCAGTTGGAGGCGCTGTCATGGTCGCAGTTGATACGGTGGGTCCCGCGGGCGTACCTTCGGAAGCAAAGGTGGCAACTTTTGTGCTCTCTGGCACATGATATTTCGCACCACCGTCGCGGGCCCGCTGCACTGCCTCCAAAGTTTTCTGAAGAAGGCCTCGCATCACCTGCAGATTCTGCTCCTGTTTTTGTATCTCGGCCTCTACGTGTGAACGCTCGTTCTGCAGTTCTTGAGTCCGCTTCTCAAATTCCCGCATTTTCTCCTGCATCATCCAACAGTTTAGAAGCGCTGAGCTTTTCATTTCTTCGTTCATCGTCAGCACATGGCGCACGGCATTTTCCCCTCCCTGGGAGAGAAAAACCAGTTCCATCAATTCACGCTGCTGCTTCAACAACCGTTCATTCGTCTCGTGGTGCGACCGCACCGTGGCGTAGTACCAACGCATATCGTTGAATCGTTCCCGCTCCGAGGTCATGGCCCAGTGATCGTCGTGATGCCAACAGCGTACGGTGTTGTCCGACGCAGCTGTCCAAACGCTATGCCGGCCACATTCTACGGCACATTGAACCGTCGTGATGCGAGCGCCCCGGTGATCCTCGATCCGCTGTACCAGCTGACAGTCCTCCGCGTCAAACACGGCAATGATGCCATCGGCCCCACCGGAGTATACACGGGAGCCGATCTTTCGCAGGGAAGCCACGCGACCACCGTGCGCGTGCAGCACACGCAATGCCTCACACGTGTTCAGCTTCCAGGCAATAACTCGCCCGTCATTGTCACCCGACCACATCGTCACGCCAACACGGCACAGCGCTGAGACGCCCGCGCGACCGTGGAAGTGACCGGTCAACTGCGCCTCACCACTCCCCGCATCCCACACCCGCACGGTGCAGTCGTCGGACCCGCTCACAACCGCGTTGCCCTCCGCGTACAGGCAACGAACGTAGTTGGTATGCCCGTGCAGCACCCGAATAACTTTCCCGTCTTCTGCACTCCATTGCGCAATTTTGAAGTCGCTACCTCCAGAGTACACGTAGCCACCGAACTCCGCAAGACAGTACACACCGCCAGCGTGCTTATTCATCTGCCGCACTAGAGCAAAGGACCGGGCGTCATACACCTCAACACTGCCGCTCGAGAGGCCCATCCAAACCTGCGGTCCCTTGCTTTGTGTTGTCACGGCAATCAGTGACCAAATGCGTGTCACAGAGGTTGGCCTTGGCGCACTTGCAAAGCGATGTAAGAGTCCGGCGGTAAGACCATCACGGACCTCCACCCCACCATCTGCCATGGCAAGCCACACGGTGTCTGGTGTTACAGTCATTGCCACTACAGTTGACGGGAGAAAAACCTCTCTCCCTTGTGGCACAAGCGTCGTCATGCAATCCGGCACTGTTGTTGACATCGTCGCCCAATTGCAATTTTATAACGTTATTGTCAGACTCTATGGTTAGGGAGGTTGAAAGGACCTATTTTCCTTCTCTTGATTCTCTGCCTATCACGCGCAGCCCTCTTCTCTTCAAACCAATAAAAAGGAAAAAAAAAACAAAGACCCTGTCACGTCAACAGGAAAACAACAAACAATGCACCCACTTTAAACTTTATTGCCTCGTCTGCAGGTGGCTGGTCCTTGTGTCGACGGTCTCGCCCAAACTTCTTCCCTCACTCCTCCTTTTTTTGGAATTATCTATACTCGTCCCGAGGGCTGAGGGTTCATTCCACTTCCCTGCGGCGGGCGGCCTGTCTCCAACGCCGTTGTGTACACTTCATCCCATTGCGGATCGTCTCGCGTGACACACTCCTTCCCCACCACAACCAGCACACGCACCGGGTCAACTACGATGAGTCCAACACGTCCACGGTGACACAACTCGGGGGCAATGAAATAACGTGTCTGTAGCAATGGCACCAGCCCTGCGGCGTCGCCTGACCCGGTCCAAGAAAGATCATTGAAAATAAAAAAGTCGTCAAGAATGCGCGGCATGTGTAGGGTGGCTTTAAGTATTTGTTCTGCCTCGTAGCGACAGATGGCAAGCAGGGTGCCACGAAAGCGGCGTAATATGAGGTGATAAGAGGTTTGGGGCTCATTTCCTGAGGAGTGGCGTATCGGTCGACGTTTGGCACAGCGCAATGTCTGTAGTAAGGCAAAAAGCAACAGCCCATCCTCATCAGCCGTACAGTCCTGAACAACCATGCGAGACCAGGTGAAGTCTCCATGGTTAATGTTGTCACAAATGGTCAGGTACTCACTCGGAGTGTAAATGGAATCAACACGACGGCTCATGATTTGGTCAAATCGGTTGCCATCGCTAGACGGCGTGCAGGTCCCAAGTAGAGACGTACTCCGTGGCGTAGGCCGCAGGACACGAATTCGCAACAGCGCCCACTCCTCCTCATCACCCAAGGAAGACGGGTTATGATTCTCAGAGTTGTCATCACTCGCGTTAAAAATAAGCGGACAGGAAAAAATGCCAATAGACCTGTCGGGCTTTTCGCTTTCTCGGAAATGCCATTCCCTCCTTGCGTCAAGGGCGTACAGTTTGCGTTCAAGCTTCAGACGCTCATATGCGGTGCAGGAGGATAACTTCAGAAACTCCATGCACAGAAGTTGCCTGTCGCTGCGCAAGATGGTCATCTCACGTCGAAAGCGCTCGAGTTGGAAACGCCAAATGCTTTCCCGCCTGTGCAACTGCACCCAGAAGAAACGACATGTGCTGCTCAGCAGTTGAACGTCACGAAAGGTTAGAAACAGGGTGATGATGTCCCACACATCAAGAGGAAGAGCTTGGAGCGGCACGAGAAGGCCACCACGCGGATAATTCTCAGCCCTTAATTCCTCCTGCGCCTCCATGTTGAGAAGATGGACAATGCAGTGTTGATTGACCTCGTCTTTTTCTTCATAACGACGTTCGGCTGCCATTTGCCTGCGTGCCTTCTCTGCCCACGATAAACGCGTCTCCTTCGCAGCCTCGTCCTTCCCAACAAGACCACCACGGCCGTCTTTCATTTCCGCCTGCGTCGCCTCCCCTCTTTTCCTTTTGATCGCCCTGCTGGGACACACGCACACCGCCGACACTCGACAGTCAAGCCAAAATCATCCCCCAAAACAAAACAAAAAAACCACACGACAACAATAATAATAAAAAAGAAAGAAAAAAAAAAGGAAGAGATTACGGAGCCACCAACAAAAATGGGAGATGTGGTACAACAGAGCGGATGATTATCCGCTCTCTCCTTTACCCTTTTTCTTTTTTTTCGGTTCAGTAACACGGCAGGCCTCGGCAGGCCTTCAGCAGCAGCAACCAGGTAATGCAGTTACACCGCAGAATTGCCCTCGTTTTCTTTTCCCCCTCTCTCAAACTTCAAAATGCCTCTGGACAAAACAGGACTTCCCGGTGGGAGTTCTCGGCGTTCTCAACCGCGCATGCGAGTGATCCTCTCGGGATTACAGAGCAGAAGAAGAGGAAAAAGAAGAAAATCTGCAAAAAAAAAAAAAGGACCCACCCGCATGTGTTTACGGGGTGGTTAAGCCTCAAGTGCATTTTAATGGCCTTTTCATCCTTATGCGGCCCCTCCGTTAAATAAACCCCCACTCCTCATCCCCCAATAAATCCCGCAACGAAAATTTAGCCTTCTTGCTCATACTGGATAGGCGAAGTGATTAATGAGATCCCGACCCATCAACACGGCCTGAGCGAGAAATTGAGAGAAAAAAAGGAATAATATGAGCGGATTTTTTTTTTTTTTTTTTTTCTGGGCGGGGGAGGGAAAAATGCAGCTCGCGAGAGGCTTATGGGCTTAGATGCGGTTGAATCCTGGAATGCCGGTTGGAGAGTCCTTGGGAGCTAACTGACGGCGTTTCAATGCGGCTGTGGGACGGTATCGGTTGGCTATATGCTGCCACTTGTACCACAACTGCCGGTACACACGGGGACGGAAAACACTGTTGATTTCGGTCGAATGTAAGCCGGCAGAATAAGGCACGGGAACGGAACGCTCTGCCTCAATGTTACGCACCGTCTCTTCTTCTAGTAATTTCTGCAGTTCCTTTGGTTGAGCCACTTGATCCCCACGTAGTTGAAGCGCGGCAAAGGTATAGGCCAAATCCTGCTTCTGGTTATCAACTGATAAAATTTCCCTCTTCAGTTCGCTGTCATGTGGCCGTCCCTTGTATACGTCGGCTTCCCACTTGTCCTCATAACCCTGCACCCCCTGCTCCGCAGCAAGACGGATGAGACAACTTGCCTCGCGTGGTCGCATATTGCGAATCAGACAGTCGTGGTAAAACTTTACCATCGTGGGATGCATGCGTCGATCCTCGCGCAACAGTTTTTCCAGCAATCGACTTGCCTGTTCCCATTTATTAAATCCAGGT